GTAAACGATGCACGATTGTGATTGGCTCGGAAAGGCCTTTACGCTATCGTTGATTGGTTATACTTCGACAAGTGAAAGAGCTGTACGCCATTCTGATTGGCTGTATAGATATTTTTCACATATGAAAATGAAGCGCATGGATTTCTACAAATGAGCTTTACGGTATAAAATTCTCGTGTTATGTGTAATAAAGAAATATATTAAACGCAGTGGCTATTCGTACGGCACCCGTACGGTGACTTGTATTTGCTATTCGTACGGGAGTCAGAAGATTTCATTGAATTTCTCTGTAATTGATGATTCTTCCTTATCCAAATTATTATATTTACCTTTAGGGAAAATAAGCGATTCTAATGAGTGCCGTTTCTTTGAGCCAGTTTAATTTGCGTACTCTCTGCATACTCAGCGAACGGCCCACTTGCGACACTTTTTTCCGAGCTACAATTGTAGTTAATACTCACGCACATGTCACGCGATAAGAAGGGACCGTACAGCGACTGGTATCTGCTATTCGTACGGGATTCCTCGAGTATAACTAATGGTTACCATTACCATTACCACAGAGAAATTCAATGAAATCCTCTGACTCTCGTACGAATAGCAAATACAAGTCGCCGTACGGGTGCCGTACGAATAGCCACTGCGTATATTAATATGGAAAGATATAACAAATGACTATACTGCAATAATTTCATTTAAGCTTATAAATTTTTGTACGATATTATTGAATTAAATCTTCCGATAACCTACAGTGTATAATTAATAAACAACAACAGTGAGAGGTGTTCCAGTTCATCAAGATGAAAAGAAAAAAAACAGAAAGATAATTTCTGGGTTAAGGCTCAATTCTTTCTGGTCACTTTTACACTGAGCAGTAAAAATAGGGTCATCCAAAGTCAATTGAACCGAACTGAATCTACACTTTAAATATTTTACTTACCCAGTGTAAAAGAGTGACAAAAGTGGGCCATTTCTCCAGCAAAAATCATTATTTACATTTTACTTCCACATTCGGCCAACTCAGACCAGCTGTAAACGTTTGAATTTCGTAATTGGACGAACCAACTTGGAACATAATGTTTAGCTATCCTTTTCGTACATTTGATGAAACCAGGTATTCACATCATCTCATACACTTTACGTGGACTGCGCTACTGTTACTATCGAAAGCTAATGTACAGAAAATTCTCTGTGATCAACTCTCAGTAAACATGGCCGCCAGGCGACTGTTTGGAACACGAGACTTAGTTTGGCCCCATGACTAAAGTACGCGAGTTCACGCGACCTACTCGCGTGAGCGCGAGTATGATTACTCCGACAGGCGTTTAAAAAAACAAGAAAGAAAACAAATCGCCAAACTAATACTCTCCGAAATTGAATACAGAAATTTATTTTCGGGTGATTTGAAATCACACGAACACTTAGCAAGAAAACTCGAATTTTCGTGGCAAAGATGTCTCGTCTCTCTAGAGCATGGAAACCAATTAGCGGCGCAAGGGCTACTGGGAGAATCAAAATGGCGGATATCAGTGTGTCTGGTGTCG